TATTTTATTTTATTTTATTTTATTTTATTTTATTTTATTTCGTTTTGTTTTGTTTTGTTTTGGTTTGGTTTGGTTTGGTTTAGTTTGTTCCGCTTTGTTTTGTTTTTTTTCTGTTTTTTTCTGTTTTTTTTTTGTTTTTTTTTTTATTTTTTTGTTGATGCTCTGCAAGGAGTTTAAAAAAAAAAAGACAGGGAGACAGGTAATTCTTTTTTTTTTATTTTTATTTATTTTATTTTATTTTATTTTATTTTTATTTTATTTTATTTTATTTTAGTTTGTTTTGTTTTAGTTTTTTTGTTTTGTTTTATTTATTTATTTTTTTGTTTGTTGATGCAGGTGCTAGACCACCCATACTTTCGTTGTTACTCTTCCCCTGTCTGCTGTTTGTCTCTGTCTCCTTCTGTCTCCTTCTGTCTCCTTTTCTCTCTATCTGTCTCCTTCTGTCTCCTTCTGTCTCCTTTTCTCTCTATATATATACATATACATATACATATATATATTCTGTGTGTATACAGGTGCTAGACCACCCATACTTTCGCGGTTACTCTTCCCCTGTCTGTTGTTTGTATCTGTCTCCTTTTTCTCTGCTGCTGCCAGCAGAAGCCATAACGCTGCTGCGCTCTTTCGTTCGCTTTGCTGTTTCTCCTCCCCTCAAAAAAGTAATTTCTCCTGCTGCTGCTGCTGCTGCTGTTGCTGCTGGTGTTGCTGTTGCTGCTGCTGGTGTTGCCGCTGCTGGTGTTGCTGTTTCTGTTGCTGCTGGTGTTGCTGTTGCTGCTGCTGCTGGTGTTGCTGTTGGTGCTGCTGGTGTTGCTGCTGTTGTTGTTGCTGCTGCTGGTGTTGCTGCTGCTGTTGCTGCTGCTGTTGCTGCTGCTGTTGCTGCTGTTGCTGCTGCTGCAACAGCAGCAGCAGCAGCAAAAGAAACAGATAAAATAGCAACAGAAAAAGCAGAAATAGGAACAGCAGTAACAACAACAACAACAGCAGCAGCAGCAGCAGCAGCAACAGCAGCAGCAGCAGCAATAGCAGCAACACAGAAAGAAAGCCCCAACCTGCTGTACATACACCTGCATCTGCATGCGTTTCTTTTCTCTGTTTTCTTTTTACTCTCCATCACCTTCTTTCCCTTCTCTCACTGGCTGCTGCTGCTGCTGCACTTGCTCCTGCTGCTGCTGCTGCTGCTGCTGCTGTTGCTGCTACTGCCCTTCCTGCCTGTGCTACTGGTACTACACTTGCTGCTGCTGCTGCTGCTGCTGCACTTGCTCCCGCTGCTGCTACACTTGCTGCTGCACCTGCACCTCCTTCTCCTCCTGCTGCCGCTGCTGCCGCTGCTGCTGCTGCTGCTGCTGCTGCTGCTGCTGCAGGTTGCGTTGCTGATAATGGCGCGGTTGCTGCGAGAAGAAGCAACACAGAATTGGGTTCGTTTGTTTCGTTTGTTGGATAGAAGCAGCAGCGGGGTGCTGCAGTGTGAAGAGCTGCAGCAGCAGATTGCTGCTGCGCTGCAGCAGCAGATGCAGCAGCAAAAACAAACGCAGCAGGAAAAACAGCAGCAACGCATGCAACTTGAAACACTCGTCAGATCTGTCTTACAGGTGCTGCTGCTGCTCCTGCTGCTGCTGCTGCTGCTGCTGCTGCTGCTCCTGCTGCTGAAGCCTTCGCTGCAGCCGCTGCTGCTACGGCTGCTTCTGCTGCTGCAGCTTCTGCTGCTGTTTCTGCTGCTGCTGCTGCTACTGCTGCTGCTGTTGTGTGTTTGTTGCTGCTACCACTACTGTTGCTGCTGCTGCTGCTGCTGTTGTTGCTGCTACAACTACGACGACTCCTGTTGCTGCTGCTGCTGCTGCTGCTGCTGCTGCTGCAGTGTATATTGCTGCTTCTCCTACAACAACAACAACAAATCCTGCTCTTCTTCCCGCTGCATCTGCTGCTGCATCTGCATCTGCTGCTGCTGCATCTGCTGCTGCAGCAGCAGCAGCAGATGGTTGTGGTGGGTGGTGGGATGCAGCAGCAACAGCTAA